AAATTAGTTCTGAAACAAACTAGTAAATAATGGATTCAATTTAAAATATAATAATAAAAATGAGATACAAATATAAACGAAAAAGAAAAAAAAACGCAAACTTCTCCTTGAGATCGCTTGTGGTAATTTGTCGGAACTAAATCGGTATAATCTAACTCTAGTCACGTTAATTTTAGTATCGTATTCCCTCATTCATCCATAATAGGCGCTAACTTAACCACTGGCCGTTTGAAATTTCCTTTTGTTGTACGTAACGTGACTATTCGCACAATTCCATCTTTTCCTGGGTGCTCTTTAACTATTCTGGCTAGAGTCCATCTCCAAGATATTACTTCGTCTTCCTTCATCATCACTAACTGACCAACCTTGAGATGTAGCTAATTATCAGTTTTCCACTTCGTTCGTTGCTGGCACGCGGTTAAATATTCTTTTGACCATCTAGACCAAATACGCTGTTGTATTTGCTCGACATGCTGCCATCGGGAAAGCCTGCTTATTGGTATCTTCTGTATATCGGGATGTGGTAGGGATGTTATCGCACTCCCGATCAGGAAATGTCCAGGCGTTAAAACTTCCAAGTCATTTGGATCGTCCGACATTGGCGTAAGGGGTCTGGAATTCAGAATAGCTTCAATCTGACTCAAAACAGTTATCATTTCTGCAATTGTGAGTGATGCATTTCCAATAGTACGCTTCAAGTGGCGTTTCATGGCTTTTACTGCCGCCTCCCACAAACCTCCGAAATGCGGTGCCCTGGCAGGTATAAAATGCCAATTTATTTTGTCTGTAGCTACTGTCTCCCGAACCTTTTCTCCAAACTCTGGATTTGCAAATAGTTGTTGCAGCTCTCGTTCTGCGCCCACAAAATTGCGCCCGTTGCCAGAATATATGTCCGACGGTCGACCTCTTCCAGCTATAAATCGTTTTAGTGTTCCCAGAAAGGCCTCCGTTGTCATATCCTCTACTAGTTTGATATGTACCGCTTTTGTTGCCATACATATGAATATTGCCACGTGTGACTTATACTGCTTACTGTTTCGCCTTACTCTATCACAAACGAAGACCGGTCCGCAATAGTCGACTCCCACTTTTGAAAATGGTCTAGACGTATTCACTCGCGCGTCCGGTAGCTGTCCCATCAACCTGAGATTCGGGGTAGGATTGGCCTTGCGACATGTCACACACGCTTTTAGTTGCTTCTTTACTTCATTTTTAGCGTGGATCGGCCAAAATTCTTCTTTAACTGATGCCAGCGTAGCGTTAACTCCCGCGTGGAATAGTTTTCGATGTCGATCTAGAATTATTAACTTTGTAAAGTGATGATTAGCTGGAAGTATCAATGGATGTCTTATTTCATACGGCAGTGCTGAATGATTTAATCTTCCTCCTATTCTTATTAAGCCGTGTTCGTCCATATAAAGCTGTAGGCCGACTAGCTTAGATCTTTTTTCCACCTCTTTTTTGTTGTTTAGTCTTTTTATTTCCGATGGCCATACTTCAGCTTGTACCAATCCTACTAATAAGTTTCGCGCTCTTCATAATTCTAAAGCAGATATACTTCCTAATCTATACGCTTCTTTGCTACGCTTTAAACTATACATGAATCTTAATACATAAGCCGCGACCCGTAGTAATTTTAACAGAGATGAAAATCTTTCAAATTCTATTACAGGTTCGCACTT